ATGGTTCAGATCCTCCCAAAAAGGGGTGGGGGTGTTCATTATCCGTAGCATAAGTAGCTCTTCCGTTAGAAAGTCCCACTTTTGGAAAGTGCTGTCGAGCGTCTAATACTTGAAAAAAATACTGTTTTTGATTGTTTCTATAATCTCTGATATATTTTCAGCGTTGACGAATTCATGGCTCACTTCCGAACAAAACTATTCTATTCCAGAATCAGCTCTCTTCACCGCACTCCTATTTGCGGTTCATCCGATTCACTGCGAAGCGGTAGCCGGAGTGGTTGGACGAGCTGACGTACTGGTGTCCATAGCAGTACTGGCTGGCATTGTCTTGTACGATAAAGTACAGGTTGGTCAGGGAACGCTTTGTCAGTAGTGGTGGTCAGTACTGAGGCGAACGATTTGCAGAGCACTTGGGTGGCAGCCATTTCAACCACGATCGCCATCTGTTTCAAAGAGACCGGTATCATGTTGCCTCCACTTCTTGTTGCGTTCCTTCTACTGAAGCCTGTAAAGGTTAGTCATTCATTCCCTCTTTCTATTCCGCCTGTGTCCAGTCGACAATCTCGCCTCTCCTGTACCGTTTTATTTACCGCTAAGTGTCCTTGCCCTTTTAATCGCAAAAGTGCCTTCTCTTATGCCTGTGTGACTATTCGATTTCCCATGCTGAAATTCCATGTTCTGAAGCGCCCACGTATTTCTTAGCGGCTCTGGGTGACATGGACATCCCGCCTTGTTGCGCATCCTTATTGACAACTCCTAAGGGTATTCGACCAGTTCTCGTTTACTACTTGAGCATTCGAGTGGAAGCGAAGCTGAAATGACTGACAAGGTTAGTTGGCCAGGCGAAGGCTGGCTTCCAAGCCTAAGAGCAGTTCTGAGGTCATAGAGAAGGGTCGAGAAGGGTTGAATAAAGGCCGGTGTGAGCGATTCATGTTTAGGGTTGAATAGGCGGCGAACGGTGACTGCGGGGTCCTTGGAGATGACTTGCGAAGAGGCGTGAGAGGCGCTCATTAGAGAGGAAACGCGTACTCAAAGGCACTGCGCGTAATTGGAGCGCGAAGGTGGAAGGTCAAGAAATTAACGATGCCCACATCTCAAGGGACTATATGGTGCCGATACGCGAACGTTCACGCTCGAATTTTATGAGAAATGGGAAGAACGGGTGAGGGAGATGAGAACGGGAAGAAGGGGGATAAGCCGTAAAAGAATGAGGGACTGCGCACGAGAGTGTTGGACACGAGAGGAAAGTAGGTTCCCAAGTTCGGTGCGAACTATTTCTCGCTCTTTGAGACAGGTAGCCCATTCTTATATAGAGTGGATTTACTTAAGGAGAGGTTTTTCAGCTGGGAAACTTTAACCTGCATTCTATGCCCTAATTGCCCTGAGTTGTCGATATCCGCTACTGGTAAAAATAATGAGCTGCTTCCGACAAGCTACCCACATCAGTCGGACGTAGTAATAGTGCGGTGGTTATTTGGCGATGTACGTTACCTGAAGCAACCTATTTAACGGATGGAAACCCTTCAGTTTTTTTCCAACGGTCTGTACCACATAAGTTCTGACCCAACTAAGGTGATCCATTTCATTTTATGAAGCTCTACAATGTTAAAATCATGCAAAAGCCTTTTGGTGCTGATAAGTAGACATATTATGGTGTGATATGATAGTCCAGGTTCGTTGCCCTCCGTTGACTAAAGTTTTGCAGGCCTTCATTGGCAGTTTTAAGCCGTTGATACCGTAAAGTAAAATGGTAATTTCTTGTCAGGGGTGCAGCACTGGAGAATGATCAGCTTCTTAGGAAGCGTTGTCATCCCGCTTGGCGCAGCCCGGTTAGCTCAGTCGGTAGAGCACCAGACTCTTAATCTGGCTGTCGCGGGTTCGAGCCCCGCATCGGGCTTAGGTTTTGCATT